CCGTGACCGCGGAGGGCCCCGGGCTGGGCATACGGGGATACTTTCGGGGACCYTTTGGAGACATTTTTGGGGATATTTCGGGGGCATTTGGGGGCCTTTTAGAAACCCTTACGGGGCGTTGAGGGCTCATATGGGACGTTTGGGGTAATTTCTAGCAGAGGGCGGTTTGAATGGGACATTTGGGGATATTTGGGGCCTCATAGGGGTCCTTTGGGGTTACTTAAGGGATTTCTGGGGACATTTTTGGGACATTTGGAGAACCCTTTGGGGGGACCCTTTGGGGACATTTCTGCGGGGTTTGGGACGTCGGGGACACTTTAGTGGTCATTTGGGGACATTTGGGGACATTTTGGGTCCTTTGAGGTCACTTAAGGGATTTCTGGGGACATTTGGGGACATTTCCGCGGGGTTTGGGACGTTGGGGACACTTGGGTGGTCACATCTGGGGACATTTGGGGACATTTGTCGTGTCCCCGCAGTGGAGCTGCTGCGGACGCTCCTGTCCCGGACTTTGGGGCTCGGCGGGGACAAAGCGGAGCCGGTTCTGGATGAGCTGAGCCTGGAGGGCGTGAGCCGCTTCCTGCAGAGCGACCGCTGTAGGGAATAGACTGGGAATATACTGGGAATATACTGGGAATAGACTGGGAATACTGGGAATGTACTGGGAATACTGGGAATGGGGACGGGAGAGCCTATCATGATCGTGTAGGGACTCCCGGAATACCGGGGACGAGGGGGCACCAGGAATGGGGCAGCAGGAAAAGGAGGAAAAGTCAGGGGTGGCGGGGGGAACGATAGGATCGGGGAGCGGGGGAGGAGGAGGGCACCGGGAACAGCGGGACAACGGGAACGGGATGGGGGTGTGCAGCAGGAACGGGGTGCATTTGTGGGGGAGGAGGGGGCAGTTTTGGGGTTCTCGAGGGGCAAATTTGGGTTTAACTTTGTGTCTCCCCCCTCAGGTAAAAACATCGTGTGCATGGTGGGCGCCGGAATCTCCACCTGTGAGTTCTCTGTGGGGTTCGGGGTTGGGCTCCAGGACCCCCAAATCAGCTCCTGACACCCCCAATCCCCCCTCAGCCGCCGGGATCCCCGATTTTCGCTCCCCCGGGACCGGCCTCTACTCCAACCTGCAAAGCTACGACCTCCCCTACCCCGAGGCCATCTTTGAGATCGGCTTTTTCAAGGTATCCCTTTTTCTCCCCTAAATTTTAGGAGGGTTGGGAGTTTTTTGGGGTGCTCTGAGCCCCCCCTGAATTCTCCCTGTGCTCCCCCAGCAACACCCGGAGCCGTTTTTCGCCCTCGCCCGTGAGCTCTACCCAGGGCAGTTCAAGGTACAACCTTCCCCCAAACCTCCTTCCCACACTCCCGCCCAAATTCCAGCCCCACCCCCGTGGAGGGGGCCCAAGAGACCCCCAAATAGCCACTAAATTGCCCCGAATTTTTCCACTAGCCCACGGTTTGTCACTATTTCATGCGGCTGCTGCAGGACAAGGGGCTTTTGCTACGCTGCTACACACAGGTGGGACTGCCCTCCCTGCCCTCCCCAGGTGGTTTCAGGGGATTTTGGGATTTTCTGACTTCCCCTGTGACCCTCCCCCAGAACATTGACACCCTTGAGAGAGTGGCGGGGCTGGACCCGGAGCTGCTGGTGGAGGCTCACGGCACGTTCTTCACGTCCCACTGCCTGCGGCCCTCGTGCCACCAGTGCTATGACCTGGCCTGGATGAGGGGTAGGGAGGGGGCTCTGGGGACCCCCCTTGAGCCCCTCTGGACACTGGGGGACCCTAGGGACCGCCCCATGTGAGATCCCTGGGGTTGCTTTGGGAGTGTCCCAATCTTTGCAGCTACAGGGTGGTAACAGCAGATCGTTCTCCCCCAGTGCCCCCCTAAAGGTCCATGTCATCCCCCAAATGTCTTTGTGCCCCCTCAAGTCCTTGTGCCTCCTTTCTTCACTGAGGTTCCCACACCCCCTTCTTTCCAGAGCGGATTTTCTCTTCTCTCGTCCCTAAATGTGAGAAGTGCCAGGGGCTGGTGAAACCTGGTGAGTTTTGGAGGAAGCGGGGGAGATCTGTGGGTGTTTGGAGGGGGGGCTCTTTCCTACCCCCTCCACTCATCTCTCGTCCCCCTTCCCCAGACATTGTGTTTTTTGGGGAGAACCTCCCCTCACGCTTCTTTACCCTCCTGCAGTCGGTGAGTAGGGTTTGGCAGGCCCTGATCACCCCCTCCCCAGCCTGAATTTGAGATGGGAGGGACTGAGGAGACCCAGGGACCCCTCTTCCCTCCCCAGTGACATTGCCTCCCTTACCAGGATTTTGAAAAAGTTGACCTGCTGATCATCATGGGCACCTCGCTGCAGGTGCAGCCCTTTGCCTCCCTCATCAGCAGGTGGGACCCCTCCCCAGCCCCTTTTCCGCCCCCCCCCAGATCCCTGGGACCCCTTTCTGTGACTGTCCCTTCTTGCAGGGTCCCCACCAACACCCCCAGACTCCTGATCAACAAGGAGAAGACAGGGCAGGTGAGGTGGGGCAACTTGGGAGGCAGCTGTGGGGGTTGGGCAGCTTGGGAGGCATTGGGGGTGGTTTGAAGCAGCCCTGCCCCCCCCCTTCCTGTCACTCCATTTGATTCCCACCAGAGTGACCCCCTGATGTCCCTGATGGGCTTCGGTGGCATGGACTTTGATTCAGACAAGGCCTACAGGTATGGGGGGATGGGGGGATGGGGGCCTGTTCCTCTCCAGGCAGTTTTAGGGAAACCTTAGGTGGTTTTGGGAACCCCCACATGGCTTTGGTGACCCTCAGAATGGCTTTGGGGAGCCCCAAGGTGCTTTTGGGGCCCCCCAGGTTTTTTAGGGCCCCACAGAGGTGATTGTGGGATCCCTGTGTCCCTGCAGAGACGTGGCTTGGCTGGGGGACTGTGACAGTGGGTGCCTGGCTCTGGCTGAGCTGTTGGGCTGGAAGGTACACCCCCTGCCCCTCCAAATTCTGTGTGTCCTACTGCGCCCCAAGCCGTTCTAGGACCACCCTGAGACTCTGTGTCTTCCCCCTCAGGAGGAGCTGGAGGAGGTAGTGCGGAGGGAACACGCAGCCATTGATGCCAAGGTGGAAGACAGGCATGGGGGGGATCCCAAAAAGAGCCTGGGGGACAAAGCCAAGGCTCAGAAGGATCCTGCAAAGAGCCTGGGGGACAAGGTGAACGCTCAGAAGGATCTGGAAAAGAGCTCAGGGGACAAGGCCAATGCTCAGAAGGATCCCAAAAAGTCCCAGGGGAACAGGGACAAGGCTCAAAGTGAGCCTGAAGAAATGCAGGGGGCCAGCAAGGATCCTCCCTTTAGCATGGCGGGGCGGAACCCAAATTAAATGGTGACAGAGGATTTCTTGCCTTTGTGTGCTCGGTAGGTGGGGAGAGGGGTTTGAGGGACTGGGCTTTTTTTTTTTTTTAAAGAAGGAAGAGAAAAACAAAACTATAAGAAAAGGGGATGATGAGGGTACAAAGCCAGTTTTTCCTTCCCTAAAAAGGGGTGTTAGAGCTCCAAAATGCCTGGGAATTCACAGGTAGTATGTGGGGGTGTGTTTGGAAATGTGGAATTTCTCACTTCATATGTACTGTATTTCCGTTTAAAAAATAGTTTCAAAATAAAGCTCTGTATCTGCTGTGCCATACTGCGGATTTTGGGATGGAAAGAAGGGCAGATATGGATCTGTGTGACCATGAGGTTGTTTTGCGTGTGGAATCGCATAATGAGAGGCCAGTAGTGCTGGCCTATTGATTGCCTCAGTGCTAGGCATTGCAAAGCTTAAGCTGAAATGACTGTGAGCCTGTGATGTAGACAGTGGGGCTGGGATTGTGACTGAAAATGGGGCAGAAACTCTTATTATAATGGGGAATGTATTTCTGAACCTGCTTATTTGCTCTCCCTCACTAGCACAGTGGGTAGAGAAGAGCAAAGGGAAAAAAAATACTAAGAAAAGAGTTTATGAGTTGAGGTAAGGAACGGGGAGGAAAAGAGTTGATGGAGAGAACAGGCAGTAGTTAAATAATGAGGTGAGTGTATTATGAAGAAAGTGAGAGAAGGAGAATGAGCAATGAATTGGAACCCTGAAAGACACCGATATTCTACCCATTGGCTGCCTCCTTCCTACATGCAACAAAGCAGCAGGGAACGTAACAGGGTGCAAAA